CGTCTTCCTTCCAGCCCGAGGGCACCGAGTCGCTTTGTCCGGAGGCCTTCGCCTGCCGGGGCTGTCGGCCTCTCGTTCTGGTGGGGCGGTCGGGCCGGGACCGCCTTATGGGTCGGGGCGCCGACCTCGGTGCCCGCAGCCGTCTCGCGCCTGCTGCCCAAGGTGGGGTCAAGGTTGATCGAGATGAAGCTCGTTTCCCTCAGAAACAGTTTCCATGCGCCTTGTTTTTCTCGAAAAGCTGTCTCACGTAGATGTGAGTTGTTACCTGCTGAGATTTAACAGGGAAGTGGTGGCGGTGCCCTGGCCCGGTGCGCCCACCTGCTGTCCGCGCCTGTGCACTCTTACCCTTTCGCCCAGAGCGCAGGACATACGGGCTCCATTGGTACTTCCTTGAGCCTTGTCTTGCGGTCCTGTGTTTTGAGGCTGATTTCCAGGTGCACTGCTCTGAGCAGCTGCCTTTAGGTTGAGTGGCCTGGGATGAAGACCTTTTTGCACGGCAGCATTAGGTGCAACAGTCAAACCACGCTTTTTGCTGTGCAGACCCGCCTTATAGGATAATATTTAACTCTACTGTAGCTTTGTAAATTAGATGAGGACTGGGTCTTGGAAAGTTGGAGAAAGAGAAGAGTATCCTCTTTTTTGAGAGGACTTTGCACATTTCAATTACTTTTTCCCCCAAGTAACAGCTTTATTGAGATATAACTCATATACCATACAATTCACCTATTAAAAATGCATGATTTAGTGGTTTGTAGTATATTCACAGTTATGCAACCATCATCACAATTCGGTTACTTTCAAATACTAACTTGACTCTCAGAAATACATACTTGTACACAAATGTCTGCTGGTCTTGTTTAAATTTGAACGCAGTTTATTAAATACCAAATATTTACTGTGTTTATTATATGTATACCACAAAAGAACTACTTTTAGCTGAACTCACTCCTCACTGCCCCGTTTGAAAAAAATACAGTACCATTTACTTTTTAAATTTTTAGGTAGTTTTAATTTTGAGATAGTTGTACAAATTATTGAGAAACATTTTGAAAATCGTAAAATTGTACATACAAACCTACTGTATGCAGTCATAAGAAATTGTACCGAGAGATCCCATGTCCCCTTACCCATATTTTCCAGTGTAACATTTTGTAAAACTCTAGTAAATATCATAACCAGATATTTACATTAATAAAACTCAAGAGGAAGAACATTTTCATCACCACAAGGAACGCTCGCATTGCCTTTTTATAACCACACCCACTTCCCTCCTGCCCCCAACCCTCAGCTCCTGGCAACCAGTAATCTGTTCTCCATTTCCCTAATTCTGGTGTGTAAGGAATGCCAAATAAAGGCAATCATACAGCTTTTTGAAATTAGCTTTTTCCACATAGCAGAGTTGTTGCATGTATATATAGTTCATTCCTGTTTATTGCATCCAGGCTATGGATGTACCCCAGTTGGTTCAACTATTCATCCATTGAAGGACCTCTGGGCTGTTTCCTTCCATTCTTTGGCTGTTACTAATAAAGCAGCTTTAAACATTAATGTACAAATCTTTATGTGAACATAAATTGACATTTCTCTGAGATAAATGGCCAGGAGTGTAACCACTAAGTTATAAAATTATCTATTTCATATTGGGTGTGTTGTGGTAGTTTGCACTTTTTTTTTTTTTTTAAATATGACCTGTAAGCGGACCTTAACCCTTGACTTGGGGTTGTCAACACCACACTCTCCCAATTGAGCTAACCGGCCATCCCTATATAGGGATCCAAACCCGTGGCCTTGGTGTTATCAGCACCACACTCTCCCAAGTGAGCCATGGGCCGGCCCAGTTTGCACGTTTGTTGAGTTCTTCTGTGTCCTTGCTTATTTTATGTCTAGCTTTTCTATCCATTTTTGGAAGAAGGTGTTAAAGTCTCCAACTATAATTGTGCGTTTGTCTTTTTTTCCTTTCACTCTTATCAGTTTGGTTCACGTATTTTTTTTTTTTTTTTTTTTTTTTTGTAGCTCTGTTTGATGCATGCCTATTTAGGATTGCTGTATCTTCTTGGTATGTTGACCTTTTTGTCATTAATTATATAATGTTCCTGTCTGTCTCTGGTAATTTTCTTTGCTCTGAAGTCTACTTTATCTGATAGTAATATAGCCACTTCTGCTTTCTTCTGTTAATATTCACATGTTACATCGTTTTTTATCCTTTTGCTTTCAATGTTATATCATATTTGAAGTGAGTTCCCTGTGGGCAAGTATATAATCGGGTCCTGTTTTATCCACCTGTCCATCCCTGTCTTCTAATTGATGTACAGTTGACCCTTGAACAACATGTGAACTGCGTGGGTCCACTTATATGCAGATCTTTTTCAGTAGTTATATTGGAAAATTTTTGCTTGGGCACAAATGCAAGGCATGCCTAACCAGTTAAGTAGCCTGTATGACAGTAGGCTATTAGTAGTTAAGTACTTAGCTTAACTCCCCGACCCCCCCCCCCCCCCCCCCCCCCCCCCCCCCCCCCCCC